TTGGATCCTCAGATCTTACAGAGCAGATGCTCTGCTGCTCTGCACCTTGATCCTTCAGATCACAGAGCACCCTCTCTGCCTCAGGCACTAGTCACGTGACAGTTTGACGCTCGTGGCCGCATGTCCTTGTCCTCTAACGACTGGCTGTCGTCGTTCCCTTCTGTCTTCTACTGTGCCGTGTCACGGGATCGTAACATAAATAGTATCGTCTGGACGGCTTTTCTCTATTAACGTACGGATATATTTTCTTTACTACCTAATATATTCCCGTATTAGAGCGCGATACTACAGACGCTTACGGGGCACACGGGCGCGGTTAGGTCGGTCGCGTTCTCGGCGGACGATACGCGGCTAGCGTTAGCGTCCGACAACCGTACGGTCCGGCTCTAGGACGCGGCGACGGGCGCGCCGCTATAGACGCTCGAGGGGCATACGGACTAGGTTACGTCGGTTGCGTTCTCGGCGGACGGTACGCGGCTAGCGTCGGCGTCGGAGGACGAGACGGTCCGGCTCTAGGACGCGGTAACGGGCGCGCCGCTACAGACGCTCGAGGGGCATACGTACTAGGTTAGGTCGGTCGCGTTCTCGGCGGACGGTACGCGGCTAGCGTCGGCGTTAGACAACGAGATAGTCCGGCTCTAGGACGTAGCGACGGGCGCGCTACTACAGACGCTCGAGAGGCATACGGACGCAGTTAGGTCGGTCGCGTTCTCGGCGGACGGTACGCGGCTAGCGTCGGCGTCGCGCGACCGTACGGTCTAGCTCTAGGACGCGGCGACGGGCGCGCCGCTACAGACGCTCGAGGGGCACACGTACTAGATCACGTCGGTCGCGTTCTCGGCGGACGGTACGTAGCTAGGGTCGGCGTCCGACAACGAGACGGTCCGGCTCTAGGACGCGGCGACGGGCGCGCCGCTAAAGACGCTCGAGGGGTATACGGACGCGGTTAGGTCGGTCGCGTTCTCGGCGGACGGTACGCGGCTAGCGTCGGCGTCGGAGGACGAGACGGTCCGGCTCTAGGACGCGGTAACAGGCGCGCCGCTACAGACGCTTAGGGGATACACGCAAACAGTTAACTTCTCCGCGGACAATAACCTCCTATTAACGGATTTTAGGTAATTTGTAATACCTAGAGCCGATCTCTACTAGGATCAGAGTTATGTACCGCTCGAACCTCTTCCTTACGCTCTATAACTACGAGAGGATTGGATCTAGTACAACGGGAACGACCTCCTTTAGCTGCCGCATAATTTTCGCGGAATATACTTAGTAGTATATAGAAAGACGCTCGTTAGCGGGCAAAACTCAGGAGCTGTATTATTCTTCCGAGCAAAGGACGATCGTAACGTAGAATTGTAAGTAGAAAACTACTATATCTATCGCAACGTAGATGAATTATACTATCTATTCTTATGCCTGCTTCTTCTCAAGCGATAGACTTGTACTCTCTTCTTCTCTTCTGATTTTTCTTTAAAGAGGATGTAGGGTAACCACTATTCTTATACCTGCTAGTTGGCTGAGATAGCTGAGAGATCCTTCTAGAACAAAAAGTCGGCGTGATTTTGAACACAACGCGCAGCTGGTGTGTAAACTACAAGCTGTCGTGGAGAACCACACACAACGAGGCGCAGAGATGTGGCGCGCTTGCTAGCTCAAGTGCACTGCATGACTCAGCAATGGCGTCGTCGCATCGACTTCGCTATGGACACGAACGGGAGTGCTCGGGATCAAACAGCACTGATCGGCTATGAAGGAGATGACTACAGAATGCACGCAAAGCATAGAGCAATGTAACGAGCCGGATATTTGAGGATTAGAGTGGATGTATGAAATGCAATATGCGATCGACGACAGAGGTCGGATTTCTGAACGAGGCTCAATTCAACACGATAACATCACGGCAGGGAATATTGCATCGTGAGTTACACGTAAAGATAGAGGAAAATCTGCTGCTTAGTATGACACTAGTTCTATGTCCATGCGATTACATTGTAGAACGCTGAAGACCAAAATGTCGAATGCTGGCTCGTTTCATAGGGTGGCTCGCAACGCCGGGAGGGACATTATTCATTCATTCATACAGATAGATAAAGACGATGCACATTCATGATGGAAACTTTCCTGGTTTCCTTGAGCCGATGGTATATGATCTCGCTGATTCGAGGATCCTAGATCCGCAAACTCACTCACACACACGCACGCACATACACAGGCGAGAGAAGAGATCGTCAAACGAAGCTTCTTACCCCCGAGAGTCTTGGAGAGGCAGTAGCCAAAAGAAAATGGGGGGGGAGAGAAATCGGCGATCTCGCTCCCTCACAACCTTCTCCCTTCAGCATGAATCCCACTTCGAACCCGAGGATGAAACGATTGACAGATCGCTAAGCATCTGTAGGAAGGAGCTGGGCGCTCCTCCCGGAGAAAAAGAACAGGCCCCCCTTCCCACCCAAGGCGAGATCGATCAAGGCCGCGCGCGATGGGTATCGACGACCGCTCTGCGACTCATCGATCGGACATTTCTTGCAGAATGCGGATGAGAGTGGGGTTCCTTCCAATTGATGGGGATGCCCATGACCCTCAATCGGCGAGAGAAGAGATGGAGAATGACTGGACTCTCTCTCTTTGGTCCTGGTTTGCTTTGCCTTGACCTTTTACGCACGTAGCATGCATGGCGGTGGCTTGGTTTGATCCTAACGACATCGGGAACAGGGTCGTGTGGGAAACGGCCATGCATGGTGTTGCGGAATTGAAAGACGAGGCATCCGATTCGATGCGCCGCGATGGAGGGGGGGGGGGAAACCGCTGGAAACGCATCTGCAGGTTTGACCCGTGACTGGTTGTTTCTTGCATCGCTCGGTGCGGGTTGTGCATGTTGGACCGTTTGGAGGCTTTGCTGCCGTTTGTGGCCCACGAGGTGAGGCTGTAGGCTCCCATTTGTGGAATGGTCTCATCGGGTGTGGATCGTCGGCGGTGGTGAACCCATCGGTCGTGCGCAGGGCTGAGCCCGTTGTTCTCTGCATCAGTGCGAGCGACGCGGTGGAGGAGTGGGGCCAGCAATCGCCGATCGATCGCTTTGCTTGGAAGGTGAAAGTCCGATCAAGAGGTGTGCTCGCCTTTGTGCGTTGTGATGTTCAACGCCATCGTTGTTGTTCAATGGACAGCAGCGACGGCGTGAATGCTTCTTGAGATGATTCATTTCACCTCCGTCGTGGTCGTCAGCTCATCATAAGGTCCCCAGCAGGCGACCTCGACAGCCTCCATGCACCAGAATGTCAAAGTGTCATAGATTCCCAACAGAACTCCCGGTTCCACATCGCCCGCTGCTGTAGAGTTCTTCGCGCTGACCACCAATTCCGCCTTCTCCGGAAGTGTGGCCGACTTGGCCTTGGCCAGTACCGCGGCGGTGGCCGATGTGGCGTTGGTCGAGGTCGTAGGTGTACCCTTGCCAACAGCGATGGGTTGAGCGCCGGTGGTCGTGGGAACGCCCTCGGTCACTGGGGCGAGCTTGCTGAAAGGGTCGCCGGTGGGTTTCGCTGCCGGAGTTTTGAACTCGAAGGTGAGCGTGCGTCCACTCTGGCTGCGGTAGCTGATGCTACTGTGGCCGTTTGAGACGAAGCTGCTGGTACGTCGACCGGTACCATTGGGTCCGAGAAGACTTGGGCGGACGGGTCTGCTGGTTTTCTTGGCTGTGGGTGTGGTGGTGGTGGAGGAGGGTGTGGTCGTTGCGCTGTCGAGAACGGCGGGTTCTGCAATGGCGCCCATCTTGGAAGGTGGGTGACGGTGGCTGGGAGGGAGGGATATGGCGATCGTCAACAACCTGATATGGTCGAGGGGTTTGTGGTTGAGACGTTGAACAGAAACCGTGGATGAAGGGTTTGTGACGCGCGGCCAATGCAGGTGAGGCGGCTTGTCGAGATGTGGTGATGGTGGTTGTGGTTGTGGTAGCTGCTGGTATGCTGATAGCGAGGTCAATCGGTTGCTATGGGTCAAGTCAAGTAGATGTCACTGCCTTGGTTACAGGCAAGAGAAGATTCGTGGAGGTGAGTGAGGATGGTGGGTATCGTGGGTTGTTATATGTACGGATCGAATGTGTGTAGCGGGCGGGCACGTGTGGCTTTCGAATTATGCACCTGCAGCGATGGGAAAATTACCGCCACAGTTCTCCCGGGTGAAACGCGAGCGGTGTGGGGCCCGACATAGGCCGATTGTGCAAGAATGATGCCCTTTCTACGTGTGGGGTGCATAAAACTATGCAATGGCGGGTCCTGCTTGTGTGAGCGCGGACCTGTATGTGTGGCTGGTGGAGGGAGAAAGAGAGAGCATCGTCATCGGCTGTGGAGTGAAATTTTCCTACGGCAGATCGAATCGGCGTTGGAGAGAGAGGAAAAGAGAGAGAGAGAGAGCGACAGAGAAAAGAGGGACTGACGTCATGTGTGGTGGTGCAGCAGCCACAGACACACACACACAGACAGACGCAACACATACGCACACGCACACACTGGACAAGCCGCCGCCGCCTTCTTTCGCCCTAGGCAATGGAACGGAATCTGGATTTCCATCACCCGGGCAGAACTATGTACAGTGCCCAGGTGATGATCATCCAGCACAGGCAGTACCTGGGTGAGAAACGACCGTCATACTGCCATCACAACTGCACCGTCGTCATCGTCGTCCCTCATGGGATCCCCTATACGCCCTGCCCAATCGCTTCACTCGTAAATCATCGCGGTACTATGCCTGAAACATCCATCTTCTCCGCTCCCATGCATGCATTGTTGGATCTGCCGTCGCGAAAGGTCGATGCCGTCCAGCATGTAGACTGCAGAGGTCAAGTGCACGAATGACTCTGACTCTGACTCCTCCTCATCATCTCTGTCTCCGCCGTTGGAGTGCACAAGATCAAGTAGTCAGCCGAGCACAAATCCTGTGGGGATGTGTCCGACTGCATTAAACCGAGCATCGCCCACTGCATAACCCAGTGCCGACGGTGCGACATTCGTGCCTGATTAAGCCGAGAGAGAGACAGGCCGAGTGGGCCGAGAATGTCTCGTACTTGTGTATACATGTAATCGTGAATATCCAACAACAATGGGGGAAAAAAGGTCAAAACACGACACACGCAAGACAAGCTACCCGTTCGGGAAAACGCCTCTCTCCTCCAGGTGTCGCGTGGCCTGGAACGATCTGGAGTAATCATGTCCCTGAGAAGGACCGAGGGGTGGAATGTAAATCTCCGATGCTATGGACAGTGCGGAGCACAGAGAGAGAAAGGGTCTTTGATCGATCCCTCATCCTCGACCAGATAGAGAGCGAAGTTTTGCCATGTGATGATGATGAGGCAGCGGCAGCAGCGGGCGGAGGAGGGCAGAGTTGTGGTCAAAGGCGCCCGATGCGATCGAGAGAAGCCCCGGCCGCGTTGCGTGCTGGAGAGCTCGTCGTCATCATGATCGCAGGACACGAAGACTCGCCCACCCCACGTCATCAATCGTCGTTCCTATATACACACCACCCGATCCTCCTGGCACATGCGATTGCACTAGAGCTTCACGAACTGGCAACTCGTCACGAGGGAATTCGTTTCGGAGTGAACTGCTGCCCCCTCTCTGGGGGAGTACGCAGGTACCGCAGCATTCAAAGGACGCAGGGCGGTGGTTGCCACCAGTCAATTGCTTGATCTCGTGATGTAGTATGCTTTCTGAGTTGGCGGAATGTCATTCACAGGTACTGCTGTGTGGATTGCATTTCGACAAAGGAGAGCTCGTCTCCTTCTTGTCATGGGACTCGATACATGTCTACAAACCAATGGAGACAGACAAGCTATTCTCCTGCCGGCAGAATTACACACGCGCGCCATAGATCTGACCGTGGCTTCATCTGTTCTTCATCACCGCCTTGGAGCAGTGTTCGCAACAAACGCTTTGGGGGGTCGGTTTTAAGCAGGAGCAGGAACGGTTCCTGTACAGACGTCATGACCTGATTACTACAGTCCACGGGTAGAGACGAAAGCACGGTGTCCCGCCAGGTTCAGGTTTTCTCGTACAGCTGTTGAGACAACGGGCAAACCAAACGAGGACGATGAAACTTCCACATGAATTTTAAATCCAATATTCTGTAGTAAAAGAGGGATCTTCAACCCTACAGCCTGCGGCCGATTTCATCATCATCACCACCCAGCGGAGACGACAGGTGTGAACCGGTGTAGATCTATACAACGAACGCTTATCGTTATTTCGAGCCGCTGGACGTGTGTAGGAAATACCCTAAACCTCTTAACCCCAACCGTGGAAGTCACAACCCTACTAGGGACTCAGATATCGGGCCTGGCCAGTCATCACCATCATCACCACCACCACCACCATATGCTATCGTGAGAAGGAGACATCATCTCGCGACGGCCTGCCCATGCCTCATCTCCATCTCCACCTTCTGCAAGGGCGTTTCCATCACACAGTAGGTCCTGCATTAGGGACGCAACGCGCTCTATTCCTGTCCCCCTCTCATCTCTTCCGTCGTCGTCGTCGTCGACGTCGTCATCATCGCGATGACCTTGCGGAGAAGTCCACGATGATTGTCATCGTCATCGTACATAGCTAGACAACATGGGGGTGGGAGATTTGCGTCGAAGCCACCGTTGAGGAAAACGGGGAAAGCTGGAGTAATCATAATAATGATATTACAGGGAGTCGATTTATTTTATTTTATTATTTTTACAGAGAGAGCAGCTTCCCGGGATCCAATGGGCAATTTCGACATGCAGTAGTCCGGCAATCTTGCTATTAAAAGGATACAGTGGTGGATAGCAGAGACGACAGGAAAATCACGGTTGGCTGCAGTAGTTGATGATTTCCGTCATTTCCAGACCCATTGGCTGCAGTAGTCGGAGGAATCTCTCATCTCCAAACCCATTGGCCGCAGTAGTTGAATGAATATCTCGTCTGCAATCTCCATTGGCCGCAGTAGTTCGGCATATAATAAACCTTGGACGTCCCCAATTTCACGACATCAGTCAGGTATCTGGAGACAAAATTGAGGAAATAATCAACGGACTCGCGACATTATCGGTGGATTCCGGCCGAGAGCTGATGACGAGGACGGCTATGGACGCAAGGACGGGGAGTGAGGTGTGTGCAGTAGCTACGGTGGACTCGCATCACCACCTTCCAAGGTCGGTCGGGGACAACGAACCATTTTCAGGGAATGCTCCACCTTCTTCGTGCATGTATGCGTGCGCGTTGTTGTCGGTCTGCCGTGGAACGAGCTGGACCATATCACCCGCTTCCCCGTTGTTTCTTCAGGCGGGAGTGGAGCGGTGATGAAAGCGATAGACATGACGAAGCACGATATCTGCGTGGGCTCAGATCAAAAGCTCATTCGTTCATCATTCTGTACCTTGTTCATCAATCGTCAGGGAATCTGGATATGTAGGACTGTTTTTTTTGTTTTCCGATGCTGCGTTTTGGAAGCGAACGGCTGCTGTTGTCATCGTCATCACCATCATCATTATCAGCAGCAAGGCAGCTCTGGAAAAGCTTGGAAAGATGACATGTGTTTTCATCGTGTTGGTATCTTTTTTGGTTTCTTTGGCACGATATGGGTCCGGAAGGGGGGAGCAGCGAAGTGGGGATGTATGCATCTGTATTTCTATTCTATGGAAGGGGACGAACGATGACAATGACGACCGACGTTGATGTTCTCTCGAGAGGAAATGGGTCTGTCGGAAGCATCTTTCCGAGGGGAGGAGACCATGGATGGAGAGCTTTTCCCCCAGCTTGGAGTGTCTGTCAGGTGTGACGGTGTTGTGATGATGGACCACACTCCACAGGACCATTCAGACCTCCAGTGCCCAGGTGCGCATTGAAACCGTGCCCGTCAGAGATGAGAATGACAATTCCACTGCCTCGTGGAATTCTTTTGAAGAGCCCGAATAACAATCATAACAACCTTGGATCCCAAATAACTTGCGACACGCAACGAAGATCTTCATCATCAGGGACCCAGGAAAGAGAGTTTTGCAGATCGCAACGCGTGCATACTGCAGGGCCTCCGAGAGAAGAAGAAACTTGTGTGTGTGTGTGTGTGTGTGTGTGTGTGCTGATCCCGTGATCGCGTGTTCCGACGCGCACAGGTCCGGGCTTGGCAAAGTAAACAACGCGAGAAGTCACCAGTGCCGCCCGCCAGGGATGGGGATGTAAACAGCACACGGATCGGCCGTGTCCCACGGAACTGGGCTGGGTTTTCTACTATGTACATGTCGGAGTTTGTTTACGGCGGTCTATGCCCATTTGGTGTCAAGCGTGCGTCTGTCTTTCTTCACCATCTCATCGGCCCGGACGATGCGAGTTCCTTCGAAGAATGAACGAAAGAGAGAGAGAGAGCGAGCGGACCCTGTATCTCGTCGCAAAGACGGATGGATGATGAATCCGTATGCCTCCCCCGATGGATGTTACGGTTCTTCGTACAGGACAGTACAGCTGTCATCAACCGGGGAATGCAATTCTGTAGGGAGTATCGTCTCCTCGAGCGGTTTCCCGGAATTCATGAAAGAATCGGGTAGACATGCCCGGATTACATTGATGAGTGAGGGAAAAGAGGAAACACTGTTCATGAGACGGGTGGATGAGGGTTGCGGTCTACAAGACTCCTCCTCCTCCTCCTCTTTCTCTCCTCCCGTTCATCAACAGATGAGGAAACGGTTTTCGTCGATGAAGAGACCGGGCGCAACCCTTTTTCTCCTGCCTCCTGGAATTCAGGCACATGCTCGAGGACAATGAATGTTGGATCCAACGGTCTTCATCTGCCGTTCCTGTCTACGATGGAATGATATATGAGGGGTGGTGGAAGGTGGAAGATGGAGGAGGGAGAGGAGTCATTGTGGTGGTGGTGGTGGTGTTGTTGTTCAATTAGTACCCGTGGACTAGAGTTGTAGTCCTCTGGCCTAGTTCGAAGTCTGTGCCCGATGAACCGGCTGAAGCGTGTGCCCAAAGGTGTGGTGTGGGTGTGTGTGACTGTCCGCCCGTTGGGTTCGATGCCTCTCAAATCGTGCCGCAGGTGTGTCACCGTGTGTCTGTGCCCGGATGGATTGTATGGTGGAGAAAGCGAGAGAGAGAGAGAGGGAGAAAAAGAGGGAACGAAAGAGCGGCATTGTTGTTTTTGCCGGTCTGCCTGCCTGCCTGCCCGCCCGGCGCCCGCCCATTCATTGACGATCCGCACCTGCCTAACCGCTGCCTGCACTTGCCCACACCCGCCCAATTCCTCCTCACACAGCACAACGGATGGTACACTGTGTACTGTGTAGACGATTTTCCCTTCCCTCTTGCTCTCTCTCTCTCTCTCACTGCCTCTCCCACGCGCGCGTTTCACACACGCCAAACCCACCTGCACCACACACTCACGCATTCACACATTCACACACATACACACACACACACACACACTCATACTCACTCACGAATGCCAGTCGATCCTTCCCTCTTACTCCTCCTCCTCCCTCCTCCCACTTCTCTCAACTTCAGAACCCTTCATTTTTCCCACCATTCACAACCTCGTGACTTGGGGAGAAAGTGAGACCTAAGTGTGTTTGTGTTCTTGCGTGCGCGGTCGGATTTGTTTCTCTCTTCTCGAGACATCACCAACGCCTTTCGCGTTCTGTACCTGTGACCATCATCCTCACAGGATACTCTCACCTATCCTCCCCGGCATACATCTTACGCGACGGGATTCAGCAGAATATGTGAAAATCGCGCCACCGGAATACCCACTCGCCTCACCTTTGACGACGACGACGGCCAGCATTCATCTTTCACGACACGCGCGCGCCGTGAACCTTTTCACCCGGCGCCACCACCACCAACACCACCACCACCACCATCACCACGACCTCCACATCAACCAACAACTTCACCTTCTTGACACGCCTTGGCCCATTTCGGACTCGCGCTCCATCCTTTCACTTCTCTTCGTACGCCTTCACTTGTTCGGCGCCTGATCTTGATTCTTCTGGCATGGGGATTTCTGCGGACTCACTTGCTACAAACTTTCACATTTGAGTGTTTCCCACTCCATTCACCAGACTCCCACCGACATTCCACCGCGGGTGCTCAAGGTCAACAAAAAGCACCTTTCACACGCGTTTCTTCCTACGCGTGCTTGATTGGAAACTCCGAAAAACAGCACAGTCGGCTCGAAAGAGTCATCCGAATAGGCGCGCACACACGATCTGTTCGTGAGTAGGATCATGGAGTTGGACATGTCACCACGGCACTCGCCCGGCGGCTCATTGCACTTGCTTTCGCCGTCTCACGCTCATCCATCGGCAGTTGATAGCTTCCACGCCATCCGCCAAATACGACGCTCGCTTTCGCGTTCGCCGTCCAAACCATCGAGGTACATGCTCTACAGTCACCCGGGCGCCCTCTCACTCTCCACACAACCGGCGCCTGCGCCACGATCGCCCTCGAACCTCAGCCGGACGGTCAGCGCAGACAACGCCAACTACCCTCAATCCAAATCACCACCAAAAGGCCATCGCTCAGTATTGTCGCGCACCCGGACGCGACGGGGTTCTCCAAACAGCCCTCTCCGACGAGCGCTCAGTGAAAATTCGAATTCGACCAACACACTACCCAAGGCCAATCTTCGTGGTACTGTCGGCGAGCATGATCAGGAGAACATGGATTGCTCCGATGATGCCACGAAGAACGTGCTGGAGTCCCCCACAGATGCGCCTGCGAAAGCAGATCTTTCATCATACACGCCCGTCGCACTGTTCCAATCTACCCGACGAGAATTGAATGCCTCGATGAAGTCTAGTCCGCTGAAACGAAGTGACGGTGTGATGAATCTGGAAACGGCAGGATTGGGAAGTCCTCGGAGCTCGAAGCGGAGAAGTCTGCACTCACCGAGCGCGACCGACTTCAACATCTTTGAGAATGTCGATGGTGCGCAAGGGACCTCGGTGGAACATGAAGATCGAGACAACTCTATGCCTCCGCCGAGCTCACCAGTTCGTCGCCCGCACAGTCTTAGAAGGTCTACTCTCCAACAGCGGACAGGACCTATCCGTCGGACACCAAATTTGGATGCTGCGCGTGATGCCACCTCCAGCCCGGCAGCGACGCGCACTCGTGCACGTTTCTCGCTCGACGGCGCACTTCCTCTGCGCGGTACAGACTCCGAAACCCCCTTCCGAAAAAGCATAGGCAGTGTACCTTCGGGGCTTTTCCAACCCGCATCGATATGCCAAGCCACGCCCAAACCTCATCCTCTCTCCAAAACTTTGACCCCTTCGTCATCGTCGTCTAGCGTCATGGATGGCGAGACACCAGCCACACAGGTGCGCGCGCCTGCTCTCGAACCGACAAAGGTCATGGGCAAGCCGCCTGTACCTGCGCCATCGTTCTCAAAATCGCTACCACTCGGTGTTATGCGACCTCCGGAACCTGGCCTGACCGCATCGCAAGATGAGTTCGCTACGCCGGCGACGTTCAAAATGGCAAAGCCATTACCACAGGCATTCATGTCGACAGGTCTGATCTCGAAGCGAAATCGAAACGTTGACATTCCTCCGGCTGCACTATTTTCAAGCATTAACATGCCTGACACGCCCTCCAAGAAAGCTCACCCTCTTCACCTCTCCGATACCCCGTCCACCGCTGGCTTATTGAAGGGTTCCAAGGTCTTGCATGATTTTGACAGCCCGAGCACTCCATTCCATGGTCGTCGCACGATCGGTGCTTCCGACACGCTCAGCAAAGGCATGAGCATCTTCGGAGCGCGTGTGAACGTGCCCCAATTACACCGGAGCGCCAGCTTCGTGAGCACCGATGGCGAGGAAATTGGCAATTCGCCTCTCATGAGCCTTGGAGGTCAATTCAACGCCGACGACTTGCCACCCACACCTACCAAGTCCAATTCGACAACTGCGGTGCCTATTGTCAAGGGCAAAAGCACTAGTCTACGGAGTAGTCTTTTCGGAAGGAGGACCTCCATGGGACCTGAAACCTTTTCAGCACCCAGCCGTGATCAATCTCCAAGCATAGGCGAGGACCGGGATAGTGCGTGTAAGTCCACTTTCGATTCACATAACGAACTCTCGACAGATCAACTCGACCGGCCCATGGAAGACGAATCTGCCATGCCATCCATCACGTTGACCGGTTGTGAAACACCTACGTCGCGTGGTCGCCGCAGCGATTCTCTGATGGGACCATACGAGATGAATTCACCTTCACCTCTGTCACGACGCTCTCGGAGATCACTCCCGCTGTTCGACTTGAATGGAGGTGCCTCGGCTAAACCCACATCCTTTACAGCACCTACTCCTGTACCTCGCTTGGACCGCAACGATACCCGCTCTCCTCAGACGCCTCAAGAATCCTTTACTCCTCCCGACCCAAGCAATCTCTCGATCTCGATGGGTCATCGCGCATCGCTGTTCAACAGCCACAGTTTTCCTCCAGCGACACCTACCGGTCCACGCACCGACGCCTTCAACGTCAGCATCGGACCAGGAATCAGCACGTCATCAAACTACTTCCCGCATGAGGTCGACACGTCAATGGCGAATCGGTTCGGCGTTGTCGCTTGCATCGGCGCGGGGGAGTTTTCACAAGTGTACAAGGTTGAGAACCCCATCTCCAACCCGAGCAGTTTTGGCTCCAGTACGATGCCCAATCGATCTGTCTGGGCGGTCAAGAAATCCCGCCGCCCCTACACTGGCGTACGAGACCGACAGCGCAAGATGCAAGAAGTGGAAACCCTTCGAGCCCTCCAAGGTCATGAGCATATCGTCGAGCTGGTTGATGAATGGGAATTCAAGAACCACCTCTACATTCAAATGGCATTTTGCGAAAACGGTAACCTGAAGGATTTCCTCCTCGAAGCTGGGTTCAAGGGTCGTCTCGATGACTTCCGCATCTGGAAGATTCTCCTGGAGCTCAGTCAGGGTATCCAGGCGATCCACGATGCCAACTTCGTCCATCTCGACATCAAGCCCGCCAATGTCTTCATCGATTGGGAGGGGGTGTTGAAGATTGGTGACTTTGGACTTGCCACCGTCTTGCCGGCCCCGTCAGGGCACGATGGTGAAGGTGACCGCGAATACATCAGCCCAGAAGCCCTTTCCGGTCAATTCGACAAGCCTTCGGACATCTTCTCACTGGGGATGGTGCTGCTGGAGATTGCCGGCAACATCGTCCTCCCTGATAACGGTTCCTCCTGGCAACGTCTCCGCGCCGGAGATCTGAGCGATTTGCCCAGTCTCACCTGCAACCCCGAAGGCTCCCTCCCTCGCGATGACTCCGGCGACCCCGTCGTCCCACCTTCGTCAGCTCTAACTTCTTCTTCCCCCACCCACTCCATCCGCGACAGCAGTAACGACACTCTGCTCAGTCAGTCCACCACCGCCACCTCCCTCGACGAAGATGACGACGACGATCTCAGCTTCCTCCGCCCTTCCACCCGCCCTGCCGCCGCTGTCCCCTCGGCTTCCTCATCCTACCGCTTGCACGACCTCCTCACTCCTCCGTCCTTCATGGTGGACCCTCACGACTCCAACTCGCTCGATCACATCATCCCCTGGATGCTTCACCCGGACCCTTCTCTCCGCCCGACCATCTCCGCAGTGCGCAATGTTGCGGGAGTAGCCTGGGTCGAAGGCCGACGACGGGCAGGTGCGACGGTCTACGAGGGTGTCTGGGGACCCGGAGAGGAGGTGTTGCGAACGAGCGGTCAATTCGGTCGCGATGGAAGCCGTGTTCAGGATTTCAATGTCGGTCGCTTGGATGAGGGTGATGGTGATGACATTGAGATGATGGATATTTAGATTTCTTGCTTGCGTGCATGTTCGCTCTGTCTGGGATGGTTCTTTGACGGGGTGTTTGTTTAGGCGTCGAAGCGCCGATTTCAAAACGATTATGGATGGCTGGGCAGGGTGCTGTGGACAGTGATTTGCTTTTATAGTTTTTGGGGGAAAGGAGAATGGTCAAACCGGCTCACGCCTTGTCTTCATTCACAGACGAGGGAATTATCAAAGTTACTTTTCTCTCCCCCTCCCGACTGCTATCGTCCACATTCCTCTTGTGGTCTCTCGATTTGACCCGTCCTCGTCGCCCGGCCTCGTTCCCAACCAACGGTGTTCTGTCCGAGGGGAGAGCGAGCAGATCGATCGAGATACATATCCATACACTTTTCACCAACAGGTCATATCCGCCTCGACTTTCTATGCCTCTCGGCCTCCATCCCTCTATTATGCTCCTGCCATCATGTGTCATCATACCTGCAAGCAAGCGAGCGAGCAATACTCTACATATCACACGCATAATTAAAGAGAGAGGAAGAGCAGTGCTCATCATCATCATCATCATCATCATTATTATCATCATTATTACACTAGTCTCGACGATTCCAATTCAATTCCAATTCCAATTCCCAGCTGGTCTTCCAATGATTTTCTCCCTTGACAAATTCTCTCGGCACCCCTGTGATGATAAATCTGACCCGCGGAGGAAGCACGGCCTGAGGATCCTTTGGTTTCTCGTCGCGATGGCGTTTCGAGTTTCGGTTTCCCGTCTATCTATTGATTTCATTCATTTCAGGAGCCGCTGCTGCTGCTGCTGGCTGGCTGGCTGTTCATGTCGTTCGCTCGCGTTACCTCCCACCGCGTTACGCCCAGCTGGGGGGGTTTTTCTCCCGTCCGGACTGCTCTAGTTCCTCCCAGTCTCCACGCCGCCGTGTCGTGTCGTGTGCTGTGTGCTGTCCTGCGCTATGCTCATGCTCATGCAATGCATCGCTGCCCGAGACGAGACGCGTTTCGACGTGGGAGAACAACAATACTGTAATGAGAACAATAGCAAGAATAACAATCAACATCAACATATCAAGCAGCTACAGCAACAGAGAGAGAGCCACCACAACGCGACATCGGATCTATGACTGCCTGCCTAGCTAGGCGTTGACGTGGAGCGATCTGTTTCGTTCATCACTGAGAGAGGAGAGAGAGCGAGAAGTGGAGTACACATATGCCAAAGCGTCATTGCATACCTAGGTAGGTCGTGAAGTTCCACCGAATACAACACAGGCGGTGGGATAGAACAACTCCCCGCTTCCTCGCCGCACGACGATTTCGAATCGAACAGACAGACGGACGGACGGGGTGTTCCGGATGTCTGTCGTCTGCGCAGACCTTTCGCGCACCACATCTCATCTACCGTCATCCGTGTAAACAGCATGGCGACGTGCGCCTGAGTCCGATCGCCTCATCAGACTGACGGTGCACGCGAAGGTCGTGCGCATCCGTCCGGTGCGCACCCTCTCCCTCTCTCTCTCACTGGGCCGATCATCATCATCATCATCCATCGTACGACCCGTCGAAACCACCGGAGAATTGAACGCCACTTCGCCGGCGAGCCTGGGTCATCATCAGGCTGGGTTGCGCGCTCGGTCTCGGTGGTATCGTGGTCCGTCCGCTTTCCCGAGCGGCCGGCTCTCGGGGTCCCTCCTCCTCTCTGGGAATTGTTTATTTTATTTGTGATTATTGCTGTGTGTTTTCCTCCTGTCGTCGTTGTGCTTGCGGGAGCAGCAGTAGTAGTGTTAGCAGTACTAGTAGCCTCCGTTGCACACACACACACACACACACACACACACACACCTGGACACAGGAAACAGCTGGGAGTCCGCTGCTTCGGCGAGAAAGTGGATGACGTCACATAGAGGGCAAAAAGGCGGACCTCGAATTGTGACCGCCCGCTATCATAGGTCGCTCCCAGACGTGGGAAAAAGTGGTGATTTTTCTAAATGAATGGCGA